TGAGTCTGAAGAGGACTTTATAGATTGGTATCAGACATCTGGGATAATATCAGACTTAAGGACTTGATCTGTACTGGGCTGGGATGTTTTCTCAATATTCAATTGCTCTTGTATATAAACCTCTTTCTTATACACATAAGTGTGCTTATATGCATAAACACGCTTCTCCAGTGTTTCTGTAGTCCACCCAGACTAACACAACAACCAATGCACTACTAAAGTCCCATTTCCTTTTCCTCTGAAATTCATTTAGAATCAAGCAGTCATCTATTGCCACCACCTCAGTCCTAGATATCTTATTTCTCATGAGAGGCTCTGGTGGAGTAGGGTTATTCATTGGACTCTGTGAGGTCAGCAGTTCAAATCCACCAACTGCACCTTAGGATAAAGATGATCCTATCCTCTTAAAAGGTTTACAATCTCAGAAACCCTATGTAGGGTCACTATGACATGAGGACAGTGGGTTTGGTTTGGGTATTTGAATTTAAGAAGCCTACAAGTGACTTCTTACCATTGAGTCTTGTTCCTCAGAAGCATAGAATGAAAAATAATCATTTTTAAACATAATAAAATTAGGGCACTTCCCTGGTTAAAACCCCATGACTGCCCATTACACTTAAAGCACAATCTAACTGGTTTGCTCTGATGTCTATAAGTTTCTACAAGTACCATCCGTGTCATGTTCTCCTTCGCTTTGGTGATGCTAGCTAGAAGTGCAAGTTCTAAAAGCGATCCAGCTCTTCCTTTTCTAAGGCCCTTAATCATACTTCTCCCACCCTAAAAGGCATCTTTAAGACTGGTCTCTCATGACCCAGTCATCACAGAAGGCTTCCTTGTCACATATTTATCCTTTTGTGTATTATTTGTTTATTCATATACTCACTTCAGTCTCCAAGTATCATTTTTTAAAAATGAATTACAAATCTCTCTCTTAAGTACACACAAAATTGAGATGGCCGGAAACACTTTTAGTGCTGTATAGCCCATTACAATAAATATTAGTTGTAAGAATGACAGGGTTAAAACAGGGTAAAATGGCAGGATGAACAACATGCAGTTTTGCTTTCATTTGGGGAAAACCTACTTAGTAAGGAATAGTGTGTTAACATTGTATGATCTCACTTCAGCAACCATTCTCTTAGCTTTATGCTCAGCCATACATATTCCTTAATCTGTAGCCATTTCTCTTGTTTCTGTTGTTAGGTGCCATCAAGTCAATTCCAACACGTGACAACCCTATGTGCAACAGACGAAACACTGCCCAGTTCTGCCCCATCGTCACAATTGGCATATTTGAGCCATTGTTACTGCCATTGTGTCAATCTAACCTGTTGAAGGCATTAAAAGAAATCATTCTTGTAGATTCCTGGATATTATCCCATCACAGTGTGGTATTTCTTAATTTTAATTAATGAATATGATATATTCCTTTCTACTTGTCATTCTGGGCACAACATACCATATTGTCATTGTTAGGTACCAAATGGTTGGTTCTGTCATTGAAACCCCATTTACAACAGAACAAAACACTCTCTTGTCCTGTGACAACCTAATGATTGTTCTTATGTATAAATCCATTGTTGTAACCACGGTGTTAATCCATCATGGTCAAGGCCCTTCCTTCCTCCTTTTCTCTGCCTCTCTACTTTCCTGAGCATGGTATCCTTCTCCAAGGACTGGTCTCTCCTGACATCATATGCAAAGTATGTGACAGGGAATCTTGCTGTCCTTGCCTCTCAGGAGCATTCTGGCTGTATTTATTCCAGGAGAGATTTGTTTGTTCTTTGGCAGTCTATGGTACTTTTAATATTCTTTACCAGCACCATAATTTAAATGCACCAATTCTTCTGCTTTTTTCCTTATTCAATGCCCATCCTTCTCTCCGGTGCTTTTCAATGTTTGAAAGAGGTCTTGTGCAGTGGATGTACCCAATGCAGTTTATTGTTTGATCTCTGACTACTGCTTCCATTAATATTGATGATGGATCAAACAAGATGAAATCCTTGGTAATCTCGATCTTTTCTCTATTTATCATTTTGTTACCTACTGACCCAGTTATGAGGATTGTTATTTTCTTTACAATGAGCTGTAATCCATACTGAAGGCTGTAATACTTGATCTTCATCAGCAAGTGCTTCAAATCCTCCTCACTTTCAGCAAGCAAGGTTGTATTATCTGCATATCACATGTTATTAATAAGCCTCTCTCCAATCCTGATGCTAGGGACATGTAAGTTAGACAAATTGACTGTAGCTCAAGGACTACATGCCAAGGTAAGAAGCTCAGATGATTACCGAGGACAAGGCAGGCTGTTGAACTGGACTAGGAAATTTATTTTGTTTTAGATACTCCCATGCAGCAAGGTTTGCTTACTTTAACAACAGGAAGGGTATCTGATTGATTGAAAGTGCAAAGAACTCAATGCATCAAGGTTGTGACCTAAAAACCATGAACGCAATAGCATTCTGCTGTCTTACAGGTAGTATCATGTTTTTTATGCCAGGTTAAAATTCATATTTCCCCCTATTACTGAGTTATGTTCCTGAAACTGTCAACTGCTAACTAAAATGCCAGCAGTTCAAGTTGAGGAGGTGCTATACAGACAGGTTACAGCCTTGGAAATCAACTCAATGGCAGTAGGTTTGGTTATTTAATTCTCAGTGAGGTTATACTACAACCTAAGCTGTAATATGTTCCTTGTTTCCAAAACTTATTTGAAGTTCATTTTAATTAAAATTATTTGAAGTTCATTTTATCCAATATTGTCCTATCTTACATGATATACTTAAGTAGACATAAATGTTCTTACCACTGATACCATTCTATCATATTGGAACATTCATTCCCAAAACTATTACTTTTCAAAATGCCCATTTTATTCATCTGACTGCTTGCACAATCTATTTTTACATCCAAAATGAATTCTATTTAACTAATCAGTGCACTTCTATAGCCGTACTACATAATATATACAGGCATGCATCACATAATACTAGTTAGGGCAAAGCCAAGGGGTGGGGAGAAAGGGATTACTTTAAAGAGTATCAGGAAGTAGCTAAGCTTTGACTATGCAGCCCAGGAATGTTATGCCTCAGTTCCCTAACTTCCCTGGCTGGACTGCAGCCCAAAGCTCACCTTCCGCTCAGGAGCCCTTGCGTGGGTGGCATCGGTTCTCCGGCTGATGTAGCAGCTGAGCAGAGCCTACTTGCAGGCTTCAGCAGCTGAAGCTAGTAAGGGACCTGTGCAACTGACCACCCCGCAGGTCTGCATATGCAGCTAGAACTGCACTGTGACTGCTCTGCTCTGTGCCTCCAAGTTCCTACCAGACTGCTCAGTGAGCACCACCCACTCACAAGCGCTCAGCTAACGTACAGATTTGCAGACCTCAAGGGGCACTGGCAGTGCAGTGGTTAGAAGTTGGGCTGCTAACCACAAGAACAGGAGTTCAAAACCACCAACTTCTTCTCTGGAGAAAGACAGGGCGTTATACTTAGGTAAACTAGTTTCAGAAACTCAGAGACAATGGCACCCTGTGCTATAGGTACCTATGTGTCAACTTGATGGCAGTGAGTTGAGAAGATCCCGGGCACTAGCAGAGAATCAGAGCAGCTTTGGAGGGGGTTACTTTGATCCATGTGAAATGAATGTATACAAGCATATATACATTATATGTAACATGGTATTCACGCAATGTCTGTTAAAATCACCGAACATCCTACTTCACAGAACTTATCATAGTTGTGGTGAGACACGCGTTTTATAGTACGTTTTTTCTACAATTATTCATTTTTAATATTAACTGTCACAGAAATAATAATCTCAACTTTTAAAAAATGAATTTTGGGGGTCAGCAGGCCCCTATTTTTCCTTTCTCTTCTTATTCTATGCTATGTCTTCATTTAACTAAACCATGACACCCTCTATTTTGTTCTAATTTTTTCAACATTTTCCATTAATAATTCTAAGAAACACAATAAAAATGCTAAAATCTACTCTCGTTAGCACATGCCAAGCTTTCTCATCATTATTTTCCATTTTTTAAAAAATAACTCTTTAAAAAATAAAGTAGTATCACATTTCACTTTTGAAACTTTGAATGTACATCTTCGTGTAAGCAGAGCAATACTTCATGAAACTCTTTTGTTTCTATACCAGAAAGCCCAAAATAAAACTAGTTTTTCTTTCTAGAAAAAATTCTACTCTAATTAGTTTCTCCTCTCTTTCTCTTAAGTCAGCAATCAAATTCCCCAGGATGTAATAAGCAGTAAACGCAATCACAAAGGAGAAAACTATAGATCTCAGTACTCAATGAGAATGTAAAGAGAAGCCAATCATCTCTTTTAGAAGGAGGAGTTCTTTTTTTATATATAATAATAAGGGAAATGAGAATCACATTAATCATTTGGAGAACCACTCAAGTGATGAAAAAGGTGATTTCTGTAATCTCCTGCTACACATATAAGGAATAAAGCAGTACAGAAGAGAAGATACTTAAACCTTTTCTCCAGTTACCAGTAACAATAAATCACAAGGTAGAGTTAATGATCTACTTTTATTCTACTTCTGTAGATTAAAACAAAACAATAAACAAAAGAAGAAGTAAAAAACAGAAGCTTACCTTCAAAAACGGACCCCAGTTGATATTTTCCACTAAAAAATTGTGGCAAGGAAAACACAAGTGCTCCCAATCCTATCATGAAGGATGCAAATGCAAGCCATCTTGGTTTGTGGCCCCCTTCACCAAAGAATGATACGAATAAAGATAACACACAGAACGAGATGTCATAGCTTGACGATATGAGGCCAGTCAGGGAGCTCTTCATCTCATAGCGCTTCTCAATAGTGGAAATGCTAATGTTTACTAGGCCGTTTACAACAATACCTAAAAGATAGAGGGGGGGGGGGACCTTGGTTTTATTATTACTATAATAGTATAAAATAGATTATGATTACTAACACTATATACTAACGTGATTTTTTTCTCCTGATATATTTACATTTATCTGATATAAATATACCAATATTAAAATCTCGGCTTTGCCAAGTTATACAACTCACATATGCAAACCTTGAAAAATTCATTTCTTTTCATTTGTACAGTTGTGAATTTTGAGGTGTTAAAACTGATACATCCTACACATTAAGTTGTAGTTAATTGGGCTTAATGCATTTTTTCTTTAAATGGCAAACAAAGTCATATTGGAAAACTTCTATGAAACTAAATTAATAGAGATTTTCTAGTATAGCATACCTTGATAAGATTTATCTAGAAGAGTGCAAAAAGGAATAATGAACTTACAGGTTGTTAGAGCAATACTTAATATCTTCCAAATTTCTCAGTCCTTAAACATATTTATTTATGATAGATAATACCTTGACCTAGTTCTTCAATTGAAATTCAGATCTTATCAAATCTCTTGGACTAATGTAATTTCCTACATCAAAACATCAGTCTCCACAACCCTGAAACTAGAAGATACAGATGGTGCCAGGCTACCCATACCAACTTCTCTACAGAGAATCACATTAGAAGTTCCCACGTAAAGTTGGAGAAGTTCCTACATAAAGTTGGACTGCGAAATCATAAAAGAGCCAGGTCACAGGGAGACAGATTCGACCCACAAGAATATGCCCCTTAGCCTTGGGTCTGAATTTGAATTCATCTCTACATTAGAATAATCAACCGTTTAAGATTTTTTAAAAGGGCAGCATTTACTCAGAAACAAAGTTCATATGCTTGAAAAGGAAGAAGGCATGGAATCAAGACACAGGGAGGGAGTAGAGTAAATAGTAGTAGTACATTGAGAGGATTGCCATGAATGAGATGAACAAAATGTGTATGAATCGTTGAATGGAAAATTGATGATTTTCTCTATAGACTTTCACCTAATTCACAATTAAAAGTTGAATATTCTGGGGGGTTTTAATTGAAATTGAGTTTTCAAATCCCTTTGTTTTACTTAACTGACAATGTACAGAAGCTAAAGTTGTCATTTAAAAGGTTCTGGCAACAACAGCAGCAAAAAATGGTTCTGGAACAAAAGTAGCCATGGCTCCAAATTTATTTCATCCACTGGCATTCTGAATTACACACAATATAAAAACAAAGAATGAACCACAAGCCACTCCACCTATTCATCTAATATTATAACTCTGATGGAGGAACAGAAGGTAAGGAATCAAGGACAAGAACCTGGAAAATACAGTTTTAACTAAAACAAGTTGTCCCCTTTTAGATATAATGAGTTATTTTTATTAAATGATTGGTGAAAAGAGTATTCAAAAGCCAATAGCCTGTCTAAATCTGGTTTTTCAAGCCTTGAAATGAAGATAAATTTCTAGAAAGCTAATATAACGCTTTCTAAATCCTAATATTATTTTCAGTTTTATGCCAGCTTAACATGTCTAATTAGGTGCCTTATTCACACAATGATTAAGCATTGGAATGCTAACCAGACGTTGATCATTCAAACCCAGCTGCTACATGAGAAAAAGATGTGGCATTCAACTTCCACAAAAATGATAGCATTAGAAAAACTATGGCACAATTCTACCCTCTTCTGGGGAGCTATTATGGGATGAAATAAAATAATTGGGAATGGAAGAGGACATAAAAAATTAGGATTCCTGGGGTTTCAAAATAAAGTATATAAGACTTCTAGGAATCATATACTTTTATGTAGAGATAAAATTATCTGAAAATAGGAAAATTTCTCAAACCAAAATTCAACTCCTTAACATATGTGCCACACAGACTAAGAACCAGTTATTAGAAACTACTGCCTTCAAGCTAAACCTTTTTAAAAGTTAATTCATAAAGCTTAAAGAATTCTGCTTTAGAAATAAATCATCTATGAAAGATTACCAATCCATGCTATACATGCACTAAAACTGGAGGCATTTCGGATATCAAGTGTCAAGAGTAACCTTTTTCCTTCATGTAAGAAGGAACCCTAGCAGTATAGTGTTGTGGTCACGGCCTGTTCATCTCAAGCTCAGCACTTCAAACCCCCCAGCCACTTACAGAAGAGTGATAAGGCTGCTGCTCCTGGAACGATTTACAGTCTTGGAAACAAACGATAAGGAACAACTACACCCTGTCTTCCAGGGTCACTATAAGTCCCAATGGAGTCTATGGTAGTGAGGAAGTTAAACACATTAATTTGACATAAGGCAAAAAGACAAATATTACTATTAAAAATGGACAAAGGGGAACCGATTACAAG